TTCCAATTTTTTCCTAAACCCTAACTTTGAGACTTATTCAATAAAGAGGGGTTTTGCTTAATTGGTTTCAAAAACATGAAATTGAATATATTTATTTAACTTTAAGGATGGAATGTAAGATTTGAAGCTATTCCCCATATATAATCATTGATGATAATGAGAATTGGTTATGAGATATCTTTCATTATTGATGTGAGAAATGTAAAATTGTTATGTTTTGGAATTATCTTTGGGCAAATTAAAGGTTTCAAAATTCATGCATCATATGCTTCTTGCATTCTCTCTTGACATCATAATGGAATGAAGGTTAAAAGGTTGTAAGGCGGTAAATTGTCTACAAGTCTAGGTAGTGAGTCGGGGTTGAGTTGAGTGGTATATTGTACTTGGTACCTGCACATGGAGTCAAGGTGCCTAATTGCCCTTTCTGCGCATATCGCCAGACAAATGTGGGAAAATATTTTTGGGTGTCCACGAGCCCGCCATTTCTAGAGCTAGCAAATGTGAAAAAACATACTTTTGGGTGTCTACGTCCCTGCCATTTATGGAGCCAGCGAATGTGAAAGGGAAAAATGTTTTTGGGTGCCCATTGCCCTGCCCTTTTTGGAGCAGGCAAATGTGAGACTATTTTCAGTATATCAAACTATAATTATATATATTTGTTTTGACTTTTGGCTCTTACTTGGGATGTCATAGTATGTTTACCACCTGAAGCAAATATGGGAAAGATAGAACAAAGTTCATACATCGCATCTCTTCTTTTACATACATAGACACTTGCACCCATTTTCATTTCTATAATTCAAATGTTACATTGCATGATCATATGCTTTTCAAATAACTATATAACTTGTTAAATTCATCACCTACTGGGCTTATGCTCACCCTAAAGATAACAATTTCAAAGAATGATGATGAAGTGCCCATCAAGTGATTGTTTTGATAAGAAGGAACCTTTTCGGGAGCTTGAGAGCATGTTTTGGGATATTTTGTTGAACTTGGTATACAAGGGTTGTAATTATATGTTGATATATTTTGAAGATATACATTTTGTAAGAAGTTCAGTTTGGATGTAATGGTTGTAGATGTTTCTCACTCTTTGAACTTTTTTTTTTTTTTTTTGTATTATGTATGTAAGAAAGTGACATTGAAAATTCTTTTGGGAGATATTTCAAAGGGTAAGAAATGGAAAAGAATGCTATGATCTTGTTACTATGTTTATTATTGTTTTAGTATGGTGTGTTGGTAACGCTTGGGAGAACATGATCTAGAATGGTTCCTTCTAGGGCGTTACACTTAAGGTGAGTGATACTTTCTCATTTTTTCGGTTATTTCTAGTGTTGTGTTTTTCAAAAAGTATTTATCTATATTTAGAAAAGTGAGCTTAAAAAGCTGGAATGAGCGAGAAGACGGGGAAAATTTTTGAGAAAAGTGTGGCCGGACGGGACGTGATTGGCTGGACAATTTTTTAGAAACACGATGGACAACTTTGGTTAGGATAAGCATGTCACAAGCACTTCTATTTCGATAAGCACATCTGAACCCTTTTTGCTCTGATAGACTTTTTTTGAGAAAACACAACAAACCACTTTAGGTCGGCTGTACAAATTCTTGTCTGACCAAGTCCGCCAACAGTTGCCAAATATATTTCTCATGAGGTGTCCCCTAATTTCTTGGAATATGCCATCCAGATCCTTGAGGCCCAAATTGCATATTCCAAGCATCCAAAGCCTATATAATCATTCATTTTTTATGGGGTGAGGGGTTGGTGAATTTTGTAAAAAAGAGTTGTTAATTCTAGTTGTTAAATCTAAGGGACATTGAGCTTTACACATATCTAAGATACATATACACTTGGACTCTCTTCTTTATCCTTTGGTTTGAAGATTTGAAGCTAGAGATCTTAATCAGCATGAGGAAGCTTGGATTGGAGTTTGTGACTAGCTTGGGCCCTATCTCTGCTAGCTTTAGCGTTAATGCCTGCTTTCATTTTGTTTCATCTTTTATCCATTTTCCTCTTTTTTTGAAATCTTCTTGAGATCTTGAGATCATTATTAGGTTGTTGTTGATAGATTAGTTGGATCCTCTCTTTCTCTACCCATTTTTGTAGTCATTTAGGCCCAATATAGAGACTTTGGCCAAGTCCAACTTGTTTTTCTTTCTTTATTATGGGTTAGAAGCCCAAGCATAGCTTCTTCTATGATAATGGTTTGATTCTCCCCTCTTGTCATCGATTTTTAAGGATTTAGGTAGTTTATATCCTTATTCATATGTTTGAGGGGTAGAATTCCTCCATTCTTATTAAAGTTTCCTTCATTTTATTGATTTATTGATTTTTGTTGTTATAAAAATCCAGGCAAGGTTTCCTTTATAAGAATAAACCGAATCTCCCATCTCGTCACTCTTTTTCATGAATTTGGGTAGTTTATACCATTTTTCATGTGTTGGAGGGTGAGAATCTCTTTATCCTCGTCAGAGCCTTCTTTATTTTGTCTTTTCGTTGATTTTTGATGCTATAGGAGCCCAATCACGGCTTTCTTCAGTGAGAATGAGTTGATTCTCCCCTCTTCTTACTCTTTTTCATTGATTTGGGAAGTTTATACCATTTTTCATGTGTTTGAGGAGTAGAACCTCCTCACCATAGTTCTAAATACCGGTCGATACGTATCGAAAAAATGGGGTACCGTGACAGATGTAGGCCGGTATACCACTGAGATTGAAAATCGCAGGAGTATCGGCCGAGTCCTGGTACGTATCGGTCTGTAACCGTTACACAAGCCGCGATGGGCTGATATTCACCGATTCGGATTGATACAAGAAAGGAAAAGCTGAAAAACCTGTGAAATGATTTTTAAAATTTCACCGTCGTGACACCCGATTCCTAATACGTATCGATCGATACTACTGATACCGATACTCCACGATCTATACCGTTACGTTACCCGATACCCCGATTTGGAACCTTACTCCTCACTCTCACTAAGGTGATTGTTATTACTATGATTTTCTAGATTTAGTCGTCTTTATTATCTTGAGAAACCTAGGACGGTTTCTTCTACAAGGATAGGTTGAACCTATCCCCTTAAACCTATTTTTCATGGATTCGGGTAGTTCATAATCATGTGTGTTGGAATGGGTTTCTTTTCTCTATACCTACCTCTCTCTCTCTCTCTCTCTCTCTCTCTCTCTCTCTCTCTCTCTCTCGTTTTAAGCTTATTTACTTTGCTTCGATTGTTGAGTTGTCATCATGGTATTCACATGATTAAATTAGGATCATGCATCTGAGCCCGAATAATTATGTTTTGGTAAATATTGTTATGTGGTATGCTTTCCTTAGTGATTCACATGTCATCTTAGTTGTGATTGGGCTCGTAAGATTTATTCCATGTGTGTGTTTGCATTTTGTAGATTATCGTATCTAGGATCTCGCATCTATTCTAACCCTTTGTTTTATGTCACACTTGGCTGGAGTATCCGGTGAGCCTTTTTTTTATTCCATTGCATATTATCCTCTAGACTATGGCATCTAGGATCATTCATGGATTTCTGAGCCCTTACTTATGGTAATGTGAAGGGAGTACTAGGTGAGCCTTGCCCCTTTCTATTGAATCTTGTGTGTGTTTGCTTCTTATTATGTCTAGTATACTGCCATGAGGCTACATGTTTACGTGATATATCTCTGTGATTGCTCATTGTATGGAGGCCTCATTACTTAAGTGAGAATGATTCTAATTTCTTTGCACGCTAGTTATCTCACATTTCTATGAGTTTTCTACATTCAAACCCTTCTCAAATTGCAAGAGATTAGACTATTCCGAAGTAGGTGATCCAATCTATACTTGCTTAACACTAACAATTGGGTCATATGATCATATTGTGTTAATAATTTTCATATCAAGAACTAGTAGAGGCCAATATTTGATCAGGTGAGTGGGCTTGCTCAATTAATGACATTCCCCACTCATACCTAAATCTTGGACCGAATCCTTTAGTTATGACGGACACTGGCCTTCGATACGAGTTAAGGTTTCCTAGTTTTCCTTTATAGATTAGGTGGCAACTCCATGTCTCAGGTTTGATTTAAATTTAGCACTCTCGTTTGATTGGTGGATTTTCATTGGATATGTTAAATCTAGGCCATTCGCTCGTATCCCATGTTGCACGCTTGACCGATCCTATTCATCGTGAGTGAGACACAAGGCCGGTCGCCTGAGGAAGTGTACAGCTGTCGAGGCCCCCCTTTTCAGATCCCCACACATCAAAAAGATTCTAGAAATGGAAATCAATCAAATGTCTCCTCTTAATTGAACATAATAGAGCAAATGTTTGAGGGGAACATTGTTCGTACCGAAAATAACTGCCTAATCGGAAGATGCCAGCATTCAAATAAATGAATATTCATTGTAATTTAAGTAGATTTGGAAAGTTTGATGAAACTACCCCTAAGATGATTTTCTTTTGTTCAAAATGTTAACAACGCTTGACCGAGGGACCTCATTGCAACAAAATTAAGAGTATAAAGGCCAAATGGTTCAAATTAAAACTAGGGTTATTTACATGAAGACCCCTAACTATTGAAAATATCATTTTGAGCCCCTAAGCTATAAAAGCATATAAATGGACCCTCTAAACTATTGAGAACTGTAACTTTCCCCCTCCAAACTATAAAAGTGTATAAATGGACCCCCAAACTATAAAAGAGTACAAATTGGAACCCCTAACAGAAGGGGTCAAAGTAATGACACCAATAATTTACGTGATCCATTTGTATGCTTTTACAATTTAGGGGGTAAAGTGATACTTGACAATAGGGTAAGGGGTCCATTTGTGTGATTTTATAGTTTAGGGGGTCTCAATGTAAATAACCCTTAGAACTATAAGGACCAAAACAAAATTTCATTCAAACTAGAGGGAACAACCGTGTAATTTATCCTTTCAAAGTTTCTTTCTAATGCTTTACAAAGTTACAAAGTGTTTTTGTTGTCGTTTGGAAATGGTTTCAGGGATACATACTTGGCAACCCATTAACAACTCTCGATGACGGAAATTATGCAATCCCATTTGCTCATGGAATGGGACTTATTTCAGATGAACTCTACGAGGTGCTTTACTACTTTGAAATTAATCCCTTCCCTCTCTTTCCAAAATCCACTCAAATATCATGTATAATGTTGTTTCATTACCATGGTATTAAATTGCTATAATCCCAAAAACTTATATGGTAAAAAATGACCCCCAATCACGTGTGACATCACACTACAACAAATAAGAGTTTTGGGAACCTTTTTTTTTTAATTTTAATCTCCAAAAGCTAAAATTCTGTTGCAAAAAACACTTGGAGACCAATTCCTATGGTCGCGAGAATAGTTGTTAAAATGTCGTCTCAAAAAGTCCAAAAAAGGAATTTTAATTGTCGCTAATAAATACACTTTTAGGGATAAAAGTATAATAATATACTTTTGGCAACAAAAATATTTCATCCCTGAAATGTGATTTTGTCCCTCAAGTAGTCTCTAAAACCTTAATTTGTTGCAACGAATTGCCACAAAAACTTGTATAGCCGAACTCTCCCTAATCACGTGCGACCTCAGTTCGTAAAAGATAAGAATAGCCAAAATATGTTGAGTGCCCAATGGCACAGATAAGGAGAGAGACCATATTTGAATCCATGACCTCCTAAAAGCAATCTTTTTTTTTTTTTTTTCTTTTTATTCTTTTTTCAGTCATTGCAGAGAAGTTGTCAAGGGCAGTATTTTAATATAGATCCTAGTAATGCACGGTGTTTGCAGGATTATCAAGCTTACTCTCAGGTCAACAAACTGATATATATGTTCTAGTCTGTTCTACAAACCTTTCCATTACCTTATTTTGTGCCTTACTTACATACTAAGCTGATGAAAATTCATTGTTTGCCTTTGTAGTGTATTGATGGACTTAACACACTTCAAATTCTGGAACCATCGTGTGGTTTTGCTTCTCCAAAATCACAAGAATTGTTTAGTGAAAGAAGATCTGTCGATGAGAAAAACATAGAGCTTGTTGTTCATCAACCATCGCCCTGTGATTTTAGTTCTGTAAGCCTTCCTAATTCCAATAATTCGGTCCCAATAGAGATTTAGCATGGTATATCAATTAAAAAATATTAAAAATAGTGGCAATATGTCATGGCATTAAGAAAAACCAATGGATCAAATTTTGATATTCAATCGGATTTTTATAAGCTATCTTCTATTTCATATTTAGAATTTTATAGCAATGCAAAATTATATTTAAATAGTTTGTTTTATGATTTTTTAAACATTAGAAGATGAGTTATGAATTTTATTTTTTTACTTTTATCATCTTTAGTGAATTTATAAATAAAAAAAAAAATTTAAACTTTTATAGTCTAATCAACTAGAAGAACCAAAAAGTAAATGAATAAATAAATTTGAAAAAAAAAAAATCTACTACTCTACTACTATTACAAAAAAAAAAAAAAAAAAAAAGGAAATAGAAACAGTTGGCTTTTAAAACTTTTTTTGGATCTTCATTGAACTGGTTTTTAATTATGGTATTTTTTATATTTTAATTTTTAGATTTTTCTACACTAGAGGAATCGGAAAAATAAAAAATTTTGATACAAATTTGAAAAAAAAGAATACTAAAAGATAAAAAAAAATTTTGAAAAAAATCACGACTTTTTCAACTAGATGCCAAACATCCTAGTAAGGGGTTCGCATGTAACTAATTAGGCCAAATTGAAGAACTTCAAAGAAAAAAAATAACTTTTGTCCATTGCACGGATGTGAGATGCCTGCGGGTCCCAAAGCTGGCCTTATGGGTGTTGTTGGAACCATAAGCCTCTCACAACTGACATTAAACAGCCTAATGCACTAAACATAGTCCCGTCCATCAAATATTTTTGAAGCTTAAAACATTATAGCAACTATTTGAATTAACTGGGTGCTCTAATGAGGCTACCATCGAAGTTTCTAAATTTTAGCATTGCTATTATTTATGCCAAGTTGGCACAAGCTTTGGTAGATTGCCAAAGTTTTGATATTACTATTAAAAATTATATATATATATATATATATTATAGAGATACAACATTAGTTGGATAGCTGTCTAAAAAATGATAAAGTATTCCACAAGTAGATGACGACCAAGACGGGTGAAAACCCTAATGGAAAACCTTTAACTGCGCTATTCAATTGGAGCACGGTTCCTAAACTTTGAGTTTTTGTATTGTCACATAGCTAAAATATGACAATGAGATTTAGCACTGTTGATGCTCTAATATATCATTTGAAATTGCATTTTATCCCAATGATCGCATAAGTATGGTTTGAGAAAGAGATTGTGTCATATGACTATTTCACTTGTCTTCCTTGATTGTAGATTGATGCATTGAAACTTTCCCATTTGTGGCTTAATGATGATACAGTCCGAGAAGCGCTTCATATCCGAAAGGTACATCTTTGATTGTTTGTTTAGAATAAGAAGTTTAAATAGTTGTATTGAGAGAAAAATTAGTATTGAGAAGATCAAGTGAAGTGTCTCAAAACTAAGAGATGGGTTGTGAATTTTTTTAAATCATTAACCGTGAAAAAAAATGTGTTTTATGGTAGCATAACTTGTCGTATCAATATGGTGAAGCAATGGTATTAGGTACAAATTGCTACATATTGGGAATTGGCCAATATACATGTATTTTTTCTTCTCTTTTTTCCTTTTCATTGATTTGTTGAAATGTATCAAGGGAAAAAATTATGTTTCTATCTATATTTAAAACTATTTATAAGAAAAATATCATGAAAATGAATTGTATTTCTTAAAATAGGGAAGCATAAAGGAATGGAATAGATGCACCGATGGATTGCCTTACACTCAATCAATTTGGAACAGTTTCCAATATCATGTGAACCTCAGCACTAAAGGTTACAAATTTCTCATATACAGGTGAGATCACTATGTTTCTTGCATTAAAACAAAAAAATTAAGTGCAATAAATAATGGTGCTTCTAGTTACACAATATTTCACTTCATTGTGACTATTTAAAAATAACGTTGCTAATAGCACTCATCTATTTTTTTGGGACCCCTATCTTCTTTCAACACCACCATAATTTTTATTTTATTTTATTTTATTTTTTTGATTTTGAACATCAAGCTTAATCTCAATTCTATCATCATCCCTAACATATGAAAATTTAATCCTAGCCCTCTATCTCCACCTTTACTTCAAGTAGCCCATCCTCCATACCTCTACCGCCTTAAAGCCCGCCCTCACCCACCCCCACAAACCCTAATTCGAACACCAACCTTAATCTCGATTCTACCTTCATTCCTATCATATGAAATTGTAACCCTAGCCCCTACCTCTACCTTACCTCAAGTAACCCATCCCTCACCTTGTCGCTACCTTTCAGCCCACCTCTACCTACTACCACTAGCTCCCGACCCCGTTTACACCCTCCCATGCCTTTCCCTAGCCCCTCTTTTTTCTTCTTTAGCACATCAACCCCTACTAATCCTCCCTTGATGCCTCTCATTTTTCTTCTTCTTAAGCTTCTCCTCCTCCCCTCTTTTTCTTTATCGAATGCACTTTTATACAATTCCTCTTTCTTTATCAAATGGGTTGCACAAGGAAGTGAAAGGATGAGGTAGAGGTTGAAGAGGGTAAGGATAGGCCAGAAAGGGGTAATAAATAGTAAACAAGGACTAAAGAATGTAATACCTTGGGAGAACACCTCCCAATCCTGTTCACTTGGGCATTCTCGCCACACAACGCATACCATACAAATAGAGACAAAAATAATGAAATAACATTCATTACATTTTGTTCCCGCCATATAAAACACCATACCAATAGAGACAAAAATAATGAAATAACATTTATTACATTTCATTCCCTTTTAATCTATCCCCTGAGATTTACAATATTGTCTCATTACATCCATAAACAAAACAAAATAGTTCAAAAGTAAGAAAATATATAACAAGACAAGTCGCAAGCCGACTTCTTTAAAAAAATGTGTCCTTTGTTACACTAGCATAAAACCAACATCCAATTGCAATACAACCTTAGTCTTGAACACAAAAAGATTTCAACAAAAGGTTTCACACTCCGAAAGGGTTTTCTTCTTCTCAAGAAATCACTTAGGAGATGCTTAGTCTTCATTTTCTAAAATTGGTTAGCTTTGTGGTGAGCAAAGCTCAGTAGGTAATGAATTTAACAAATTATATAATTAATTAAAAGACACATGATCATGCAATGAAAACATTCGAAATATAGAAATGAAGATGTATATAAGTGTCTATGTATGTGAGTGAAAACATGCAATGCATGAAAATTGCTTAATCTTTCCACGTTATCCACGGGTGGTAAATATACTATGACATCCCAAGTATGAACCAAAAATCAAAGCATACATATATAAATGTAGTTTTGTATATTGAAAAAAGTCTCGCATTTGCCGGCTCAAGAAACGGCGGGGCGATGGGCACCCAAAAGCATTTTCCCTTCCACATTTGCTAGCTCCAGAAACGGCGGGCTTGTGGGCATCCAAAAACCATGTTTTTCCATATTTTCCAGCTCTAGAAACGGTGGGTTCGTGGACGTCAAAAAATATTTTTCCATATTCATCTAGTGATATGCGCAGATAGGGCAATTGGGCACCCTGACTCCCCGCGCAGATACCAATTACATTACACAATTCAAAAACCAACCCGACTCACTACCTAGACTTATAGACTATTTACCCCCTTCCGTTTTTCAACAATCACTTCATCATAGTGTCAAAAGAGAAATTTCGAATGCATATGATGCATGAATTTATAAATCTTCAATTTTCCCTATTCCCTACAATGATTTCAATTCATAATAAGTCACTACTTTACACATCAATAATAGAGGATACCTCATTAACAACCTTCACCAACTCAAGGTGTATATAGGGAAAAGTTCAAATCTCACATTTTGACCCTAAAGTTAAGTAAATACATTCAATTTCATGTTTTTGAAACCAATTGAGCAAAACCCCTCTTTATTGAACAAATCTCAAAACTAGGGTTTATGGAAAATTTGGGGTTTTCTCTCTTTTATGAATTAAGGACTAATTTTCCTCATCAACATCGAAAATCATCAATAAAAGACATAGTTCCATCCAAAATGAATGAATTATTGGCCACATCCTTCCAAATCATTTATTAACCAACACACTCCATACACATATACATACATATATATATATATATATAAGGATGAATATCTAATGAAATTACCACATGTGGGTCTCAAATTAAAGATATAACAAGTTAAAGACACCTCAACCTCAAGATTAGAAGTTGAAGATGAGAATCCACTTGTAACTTTGGCAAAATTATGAAATAATCAGTAGAACTCTTGATCCAAGCTTGCCTTTCAACCTCATTGAAGGATCTAAGGTGGATCTAAGGTAAAAATTTGAGAAATCAAGTGTTTCAGGCCCTAGGGTTTGGGTATTGAACAAAGTGAGAGAAGAGATGAAGAAAGAATAAATATTTTGGGCCAAAAAGTGAATTTAAAGTGCTTGATATTGACCAGACCGCTCGAGTGGTTGAAGCTTGGCTCGAGCGGTGAAAAGAAACTCCTAAAATCTCTTAAATTCGCACATACCACTCGAGCGGTGCAAAGTTCAGTCGATCGGACTTACTTCCAACACAAATATTCAAATTTCAAACAAACATAACTCTCTTGTTCGAACTCCATTTTAGGTCATTCTTGTGTCCAAATCGAAGCCCCAAAAACAAGTGTTCCAATGGTTCTAGATGCACATTCAAATTCAAAGTGTGGAAAGAGAAAACGGCAAAAAAGTGAAGACTACTCATAGGACAATTATCCGAATCAATGTTTTTGGTCCAATCTTACTTTACCCTTGTGATATCAGCCCAATCAATACTCTAACATCAACCAAAGAGGCTCCAAGTACAATAATAAGAGTGTCAAAAGAAATCCCATGAGTTTAAGAAGTACAAAGTGTTACAAAGAGGGTTAGGTTGCGGCTAGGGGTAAGCAAGAGCCATCATAGCTGAGCCCATAGATGATTCTATGCCATCCTCATTTCCTTCCTTTCTGGCTTTGACTTCCTGATGTGGATTTGAAACCAAGACTGACCCAGGAAGTCAATACATGCTTTTGGGACATTCACTATCTCACTTTCAGTAAGACAGAAAAGAGTGTGGAGGTAGGAAGGGGTTAATGGTGGTAGGGAGTAGTGAGAGAAGGTTAGTAAGGGCTAGGAGTGGCAGCCAAAGATGGTGGCAATGGGTGGTGTAGAGGTAGGGTTAGGGTTTGAAAGGTTAGAAATGGAAATAATATTGTAACAAAAAATTGGGGATGAGTTTAGGTCCAATATTAACTTCACTCCATCTCTCTACATCCATTCTCTTCTTCACTTTCTCTTTACTCTCCGTCCTCTCTCATACTTCATATGTAGGAGAAGATGAACCTAGATCTCTCAATTGAGGGTTTTGTAGGCAACATCAATGACGATAACTAGGATTTTAGGTGGTGGAGGTTGTGAGAAGAGCGAGGAAGGGACTGGGGTTGTCACGTAGATTGTAAGGGAATGAAGATATAGGGTAGTGGAGATGAAAGATATTGCAAGTAAGAAGATGAGGAAGGCGGAAGAGAGGAATGGTAACGGATAGTTGGTGCGAAAGACTAGAAATGAGGTGGACAAGTGTGGCAAGGAAGGAAGGAGAAGAAGAGGCAGGTGTTGCTAGGGATGCAGACGGTGATAAGGTGGGGAAGAGCAGGTTGCAAGTGGGGAAGGGTAGTGAGGTGTAGAGAAGAGGTTATCGAGAATGGGATTACAAAGGGAGGGGGTTTAGCAATGATGCAATATTTGTATCATTTTCAGGTTTCAATTTTTAAATGGTAATTTACTTAGAGATAAAATGGTATTAAACAAAATTTATAAAATGGTGAGGGTAAAGAGACTGATTTGTGGGGGACAAATAAAGGATCTCATAAACAAAAACCAAAAAGAAGAAAAAAAGGATTTGGCTTCTACATGGAGAGAAGTTTAATTGTGTCCAATTGGCAGTCAGTCTTGTCATGGATTTCATTTTAATTATCAAACTCTTCATTTTTATAGGTCTTTTGAGTATTGATCATCTACACACACTACAGGAATTTTGATTTTTAACGGCGTTTTAAAAACGCCGGTAAAATCCTGAAAAACGCCATAAAAGAGTACAGCAACGTTCAATATTTTCGTCGCTAATACGGCCGTTGCAATAGCTTTACAACGTTTGGAAAACGTCGCTAAAAACATTAGGCAGCGTTTATGAAAACGCCACAAAAACTTTGACAGCCGCTTACAATTCCGTCACAAATAACGTTTGACATCATGATGACGTCATTTAGTGGCGTTTTTTTAAAAAACGCCACCTTCTACCTTTTATTTTTTTTTTTTTTTTTTGGGTGGGTGTGTGGGACTGATTCTCAATAACACACCACAGGGTCAAACAATTTAACAAAGAACGCAACTTGAAATATAGCATGACACAAGATCACAATTTTTACATATTTAATATATTGTAATCAAACACATCCATAAAAACATTATACGGAAATGGGGAAATAGTGCATAAAAATTATCTCAATCATTCGTACAAAAAATACCATCAAAGTACATCTTTATAAAACCATCATCCAACTCATCCATCCAAGCACCAATAATTTGGTTCCATCTTGCCAATGACATGATCATGAGTACCCAACTTTGACAAAACAGTGGCACTGAAAAAACACAACAATTCAAAACAAATAAGGAAAACCAAAACCCCTCATTTGGTCCATTCCATAAAAATCCATGTACAAAAAAGCAATTACCAGAATGCTACAACACAGCAAAAGAATTTTTAATTTCAAAATTTTATCAGCATCTTCATAAACAATTTTTAATTCTAGATGTAACAGTTCATCCAAAGCAATATATAGGCAAACCAAATGAATAAATTCCAATAAGGAAACAAATATAAACTAAAAATAAAATCCTAAACAAATTCAACTTCATTAATAAATTAAAATTCACAAATAAACTAAAATTCTAATCTTCCATTTTTTTCAACCAACTCCTTTTTGTTCTCCATCAGTAGTGAACCATCAGTATACCTTAGTAATATTGACAACCATGCTAAGGAAACACATGATGCTGAATGAGACATTCATGGAAGCATAAAAAGCATACCTCCGACCTTTTCCATTGCATTAGTTGATTCCTAAGATTAAGACCCCTCAAACTCTTTGAAATTATAGAAAGGAAACATACAAATAACTGGAGTTGAATAACTAACAGACCTTAATCTTTATATTTTTCATATAAAATGTTCAATTCTTTGTAGTTTGATTGTTGTTTAGCCACTGCAAAAGGGAGCCAAAAAAGGTCAAAAAAGTATATGTTAGTTTGAATTGAACAACTTGAATATGATTAAAAGAACTTTGTAGTCTATATTATCTTTGTAAACTCAAACAAACAATAAACAAGAAGTCATATACCAAGCAACAAAGTAGGTTTCAAGACAGAAGTAGCATTATGAATAAATCCAAAGAGTTCTGAATATTCCTAGGGAAATAAAAGAAGAAGAATATGGCCCAAAGATCAATAAAGTAATTAACAGCAAGGACAAAAACAAAAACAAAAATTTTTTTTTTTTACGTATGAATGATTATCAAAAGAAAAGAGAGAAGAAGAAGAAGAAGAAGAAGAAGAAGAAGAAGAAGAGGCAAATTAACCATGTAAATATAATAGATTTGACTAACTAGGATATATAAAGTCACTTGCCATTTTGAAGCAACATTCATAATCAGAACAACCTCCCATTGTAATTGCTCATTTCCCATTGTAACTGCTCAGAGGTACATCATTTCCGCATATGTTTTGCACTTTCAATTCTATTCAATCAGCAACTACTAACCACATACAATGATAATATTTGACAAAAACAATGGAAAGCTTCAAACCAAAGAAGGTGGCCACCACCCTCTCACAACTACAAACTTACTGCTAAAAGGGTAGGAACTGAGTTGTTGGTGTAACATCTTAATACAGCTCCTCTCTAACAGCAACCTAAACTTCTAAAGCCTAGCACATTATTATGATATAAAAAAATAAAAATAAAATAAAAAGAAGCAATTATGTCATATAATTCTAATCCAATTATATGAAGTTCTGCTACTGACTATGAGTGTGTCTTATTTTTCCACCACCAAAAATTAAAAGCTACAAAAAGAGACAAAAAAGAAAAAAGAGAATACGATAGTCCAATAATACAAAAACAGTATGGTGACCCAACACGATGTAAGCGGAGTTTCATAATGCTCTGCACATCAACAAAAACAGAGCAATGGTACAAATGGGAATTGGATGAATGGGAATTGGATGAGAACCTTTTTGTTCTTGTATGGTGACCCAACTTATGACAGACCAATAATACAACTTAAAACTTTCAGAGAAAACACACTCACTCATTCACACTTATATATATAGATCTCAAACAGGTATGAAAAATTTAAAGAAAGAATTTAAAAAAAATTTAGTTCTAAAAAAATTCATTACCTGAACTAGCTGATGTTAAAAATCCATATCGAACAAGACTTCCTTTTTGCTGAACTCCTTCCATTTCTAGTTTTGTCTTTCTTTTTTTCCCAGGCACTGAAACAATGAGTGCACAAGTCACCACCACCACCACCCCTGCAGATATTAGTTGCTGATTTAGAAAGTCAAATTACCAGAAGTAATCCTTTTCAAAACTAGTAGTGACAACAAAACTAGACTTGTGCAGATTCCCTTATTGAATTTATACCCTGCACATGTCAAAGTTTAGAATTGACAATGTTTAAAACAAAACTTTTGCATCATTAGCATAAATCAAATACAAGCAGTAAGAAGGTAATAAAGAATTAAAGAAAACAAATCAAACTATAGAATGCAGAGAAATAATAATAATAATAATAATTCAGAAAGAGAGGCTCAATCAAACCTGAGAAGGGTTTCGCGGAGTAGAAATTCCAAATTCAGCCTCCATTGCCATCGGACCAACCTACCTGTTGCTTAAAGTAACGGACGAAAGGGAAAATCAACAACTCAAGGGTTTATTAAACATGTTAAATACTTAATAAGCATTACAATAAGTACACGTATTTATTAAACACCAACTCAAGGTAACAAGTGCACAATAAGTACACATCACAAACTAATAAGAATTACAACAAGTGTTTCCATAAAATGACAAAAAAGGTCACTAGAAGGGCGTAAACATACCCTGCTCAGCGAGGTGCTCGTCCACCTCATTTGCTATCTGTTTCCCAACAACATACAAATTCAAACTTCTTAGCCAATTAGCAACATCTACATGTACACATAGATATACATTAAGTTGATAAAAAGATGAGATGAAATTCAATTAAGACCTTATTAAAGTACTCATACTGTCTATTGCCAAGGCCAAACACTCCATAAGTAAGATTCTGAAGCCATTCCCCTCTCTCTTTACCCTATGAAAAATCATATATAACAAACAATGAACCCCCCAAATCTACTTTCTCAAAGAACCATAATATCAATATACACTGAAATTATTCAAATTTATCTCTGTAAACCATTTATAGAACCTTGCAGCATTGTCCGTTGGCTCACCATTTTCATATCTACAGCACAAACAAACAAGAAAATAAATTTAATACATAGCTACACCAACGCACAAAGTTACAAACAATCAGATATATATACATCATGTCTGTATGTGATTAACGAGGAAGGTAGGAATTAAAAACTCACATAGCTAAAAAGAAAAATGCCAAACTCTCTTTCTTCGACTTCTCCTCATATTCCTCATCATCTGCCGCATAATCATCCTATGAACCATATACATAATTTGATATATAAAAAAAAAACATCAACATCGATAATCGAGTACCATCAAACAATCAAACCTTAAATAAAAACAAAAAAAGAAGAAGGTCAAACTCACCAAATCAACTACTTTAAAGGTGGCCTGATGGGAGGTTAAAAGAATCATCCAAAACAATAAACATGGGTTTTCAAGGAATAAAGCTACAGATGGGAGGTTAAAAGAGATCTGATACACATAAAAACTTCCCCTAACTAACATAGATTCCATGCTCTTCTTCTGCAAATTATGCCTCAAAAGCTTGGAACGATCTCAAATTTATAGCAGAAACAAGCAAAAGACATGAAATGAGGATGGCCAAGTTAAAAATTTACACATTGACAATTAATTAAAGAGATACATTGAAGATGATATCGACGACATCGACGATTTTGTAGTTGCAGAGGAAAGCTCTTCCGGTGCTGATGGTGGTGGTTTAGTAATGAAGACGACATCGACGTCGTTGGATTAGGCGGCAACATCCTCACCGCGGCGGTGGCGGCGACTCCATCGTTATCGTCATCGTCCTCCTCATCATTCACGCTCTCCTCTGAACTGTCCTCACCACCATCTTCTCTATTACTCCTGTGAATCAACTTATCTCCTCTCCTCCCCTTGCTCCGACTGGACCGATCTCGGTCCCGGTTCCTGTCTTGATCCCACTGATCTCGATCCTTCTTCACTCAACTGGTCTATCTTCCTCTGCAAAATTATCAGAATTAGAATCAAGAAAAACAAAAACCGTTGAGAAATTTCAACCAAATCGATTCAAGAATCGATGGATTTAGAATTAGATCTGAACAAGTAATCGCAATCGAACCTGGTGAATCTCTCAAGGAGACTGAGGAGAGACACATAAACCCTAGATCTAGGACAGTGAGAGAAAACGATAAGAGAAATAAAGACTGGGGGAGAGTGAGCACTGTTATAAATGGAACACGTGTTTATAATAAAGGATAACGCGTAATTTCACTTTATTCCACAGCGTTTTTCAAAAAACGTTGTCTAACAAACGTGGTTGTAGGCAACTTTTGTTGTAGTGTTATTAGGTATTCTCAGAGCACGATCACATAATATTATGATTGGGTCAGTCAAATACTTGTAATATTTTTATTTTATAACATTCGTTTCCTAAAAATTAGACAAGATTGAATTTGAAAATAAATTATTCATTTTTTTTTTAGTGACAAACATGATAAAATAAAAAATACTATTTATAATTTTCTCAAATCTCAGAAGAAGTAAGTGTAATTTACTTTAAAATAAATAAATAAATAACATCCTCCTTTCAGCTATCTCCATCTACCACAATAAAAATGTGGTCATCCAAATTTATTTCAAAATATGGTCACTAAAAAGTAGTGTGCTTTAGAAATTTATAAAAACAACAAATGTTCATTTGCCACAAAAACAATGAATATGGTTACAAATTTGGCAATGATCTTGATCAATGTCTAGAGAGAAGAAGAAAGAAAGTTAACTTAGGCCCCGTTTGTTTCCAGAGATAGAATGGAGAGGATTGATAGTGAGGGGATTAATAGTGAGGGGATTGTTAGTGAGGGTCGTTTGTTTTCAGAGATAGAATGGAGGGGATTGATAGTGAGGGGATTAATAATGAGGGGATTGTTAGTGAGGGGATTGATAGTGAGGGGATTAATAATGAGGGGATTGTTAGTGAGGGGATTGATAGTGAGGGGATTAATAATGAGGGGATTGTTAGTGAGGGGATTGATAGTGAGGGGATTAATAATGAGGGGATTGTTAGTGAGGGGATTGATAGTGAGGGGATTAATAATGAGGGGATTGTTAGTGAGGGGATTGATAGTGAGGGGATTAGTAGTGAGGAATTGTTAAATTATTTTTATATAAAATAATAAAACAAATAAAAAAATATAAAAAATTAAAAATTATATTTTAAAAAAAATTTCCAATATATAAAAAATAAAAAAAATAAAAAAATTTCTAATCCCCTCACTATTTTTCTAATACCATCTCTACCTCCTCACTATGAATCCCCTCCCCAAGGGTATTAGTAATACCAAGGTATTAGTAGTACCCTCCCTATCTCTCAAAACAAACAAGGTATTAGTAATACCAAGGTATTAGTTAGTCCCAAGGTATTAATAGTCCCTAGGCTATCTCTCAAAACAAACACCCCATATACTAATCCCAAGGTACTAGTAATCCTAATCCCCTTGCTATAACCCAAAACAAACGGGCCCTGGACTTACTCCAATCGGATGACATTTGCTACGGTTAAGGTATGATATTTTTCCTCTTCACTTGTTTTGCATATTTTTCAAATGTGTTCGGTATCATTTCGAATTTTTTATTTTTGGTTTTCATGTTTTTTAAAACAAAAATAATTACAAAAAAATGAAAACACTTTCCTTTTTATTTTTTGTGAAAATAGTTATTATTAAAAATTGAGAAAAGTATTTCTACAAAAAGGAGACGTTTGAAAAATATTTTTTTTAAAAAAAACCAATAGTCAAACAAGTTTTCTGCATCATTTTTCTTTTTCTTTTTTATTTTTTGAAAAAAAAAATGAAAATAGTACAAAAGGTCAAGTGCATTATTTTATTCTTTTATTTTTTCTTTCTTTATTTTTTGTTTACGTTCTTTGTATTTTTTTAGGTCATTTTCACTATTATCTCTTAAATCATCGTGATTTATTCTATTTGTATCAATTTTGTCAAATTCATTCATAGGTTTCTAATTTGAGGGTAGACTTGGTCTATTTGGAGACGATTGTTTATTGAAAATTAGTTTCAAAACTAGTTTCTTGGGTAAAAATAAGTCAACAAAAAAACATAAAAAATTAATTTATTTGGTATATTCTTAACTTTCATTGAGTAGTTAAAGTTCACTTTTTTGCAAAACATGAATTAGTTAGAAGATATAAGACTGTTTAGCAAAAGAAACCTTTTTGACCAATAAGTTGGCTTTTAAGCTAGCCAAATGAAGAATAAATATAACCACTAAGACTAATTTGATGGGTAAAAATGTCATTTTAAAATTTAAACAATTTAAACCACCCAACACGACACTCATTTTTCTTGCTCATTATTTTGAAATAAGGAGTGAAGAAGAATATGAGTTATTTGGTTATAGGTTGTGAGTTGTCTAGTATAATGTGAGTGAGAAGACAAATGGTTGATTGTATAATTTAGATTGTGTGGATTATAAAACTACCTTTTGTATGGATGTAATATGTTAGAATTCCACCACAATTGTACATTTTATCTTGAACTGGATCATATGAACTGAAATATAAATAAATAAAACACTGTATAGAATAATGTCGAAAATATAATATAAATAATAAATTGCCCTTTCTCTCTAACAACTTGAGCTTTTAGCTGACTTTGTAGTCAATATTTCAATATGGTATATGAGCAGACAATATATCATGTCTTTGAGCCCCACCGCCTACCCGATAATTAAAACTTGTTTGCATATGTTTGGCTTATTATGAAGAATAAAAGTTCAAGCACACGTAAGGGGGCATGTTAAAAATATAATATAAATAATAAAGTTGTCATTTTATCAAGTAACCTCAGCTTTTAGATGAGTTTGTACTCAATACTTCAATAACTAAATAAATAAAATTAATAATTTAAGAATAAAACTAAAAAAGAAAATTGACAATTGTTAAAAGGATAAAAGAAAGTGAAATTAACCCCCTCTCTCCTTTTTGTTTTTGTATGTTAACTCTATGTGTGTTAACAGGGAGGAGGACATATAGCTCCACAGGACAAGCCTGTTGAATGTTGTGCTATGTTCGAAAGATGGATTTCTAATCAACCCCTATGATCAATCTTTTACCTTACCCAAATGGATGTGCCAACACCCAAAAGTGTGATCATTTTCAAGCTGCCAAAACTCCAATACGAGACCTGGTCTTATCTATTGATGCAACTATTTTTATATAAACACCATTTTATAAGGATGCAATGTTGTTATTTTTCTATCCATGCTCACTAGCCTGTTCGAAAAATGATTCCAGTGGATCTAGAAATAAAATATGGTATTCAAGTCAGATGTTTACTTCTTAAATTATTGGGCCAATAGCCCCATGCGTAAATTTTTTGGGGCCAACAAGACATTACATGTTGGAAAGCACATCTATTTGTCCAAAAGTTTATCTACCTGTCTATCTACTCAAATGCAATTTATTTGTCCAAAAGCTGACACCAATCTGTTCAAATGTCACATATCTGGCTAATGTCACATATTTGTCCACCTCATTGTCACCAGCCACCTCCTTCGATGCCCAATGACTTTTTTTGACCAATTCTATTGCAACGATAAAGCGTGCCCTTAACACCAAAAAAGATTAAATCTTAGACCAAATAACATATATGACCTCATAAGTATGGACTTTTCACATGCAATTATTTATTTACTTTTTTTAGTAACAAATGTGCCTTACAATGATGAAAGTTTAGAAAAATATATATATAATTCACTTCAATAATATAATTGGTGTCATGTCACTGATATATTGTTGGTGCCATATAACTCATCCTTAGTACACAAGTATTATAAAATTGTATTTTGAAAAGAAGTGAAACATGTAATTGTTGATGGTCATAGATGGTTAGCGGACGCGAGAGTCGGTGACTAAAGATGGCTGTCATTGGTAAGAGGTAATTGGTGGTGGCTAGAAGTGGTTGTCGACCATGGAAAGGAATGGTCAAAAGTGGTTGTCGACGATCAGAGATTGTGATCAATTGGCAAAAGTGGTTATCGCAGGAAGGTAGTTGGCAGTGGTAGAAGGTGTGGCTTGTAGTCGAGGTAGGTGGTTGGCAAATGAGGTCATTCGCAATAGTGGTCGATGGTAGTGATGTGCAATAGGGGTGGGCGAAAAAGATTGGAGAAAAAAAGAAGAAATGGAATAAATAAATAAATAAAATGAAATCAATTCTTCTTTTTTGTTTTTGTTTTTGTTTTGTTTTGTTTTGTTTTTGTTTTTTTTTTTTTTTTTTTTTTTTTTTTTGTGGTTACTAAACTAATTACAACTTTTTGAAAATAAAAACAGAAATTAAAGGAGTTTTTGAATAAAATTTTTAAAAATTCTGTAACCATAAACATATAACTATAAATGTAAATGTTACCCAAACACATCCTATATATTATTTTATTTTAGATTTGTATGTCATCAAGATATATGTGATAAGAAATTATTTGTATTAAGTAATTCTTTAAGATAATCAACCATTAATCTTCTTTATAGGCTGTAATACAAAATATGGACAAAAAAACCCAGCAATATATAACATTTTTAATTAAAAATAAAATATAACGACAGATCTTGATTAATGCCCGGCTACTCAATTATTACAGATTTCGATTCCCTGTCTCTTACTGTGTAGGTGATTTTATAATTTCCATGTGACCCGCCTGTTGCTGCTAATGCTATCATAATTTAAAATTTTAAAAATTAGAGAAAATTCTATGATATATACACCGTTTCAGATATTTATTTTATGCTCCAATTATTACTTTTATAATTATTGATTATGAGTTATTGTAATATTAGTTATAATTTAATTATGACTTACTCAGATGATAGTTGTGACAGTATTTGTGTTATAATTTAAAAAAGTCTTTTGTCGTACCTTATATCAGATTTGGTTATAGATTTTTTTTTTTTTTATATTATAACTTAAAAAGATATAGTTATGACATTAATTTGTGAAAATCAATACCACAAATGTTATAACTTGTAATCATAACATAACGCTTAACTCGTTTCATTTTCTCCAAATTTACCAAACCCACTTTTCTCTTTGCTTAAGTTTGTTTTTTTAATTGATTTTTGTTAAAGTTTGTTTTTTTTCATTTTCCATGTGGCTGCTAATGCTATCATAATTAAAAAATTAAAAATTAGAGAAATTCTATGATATATACACCTTTTTAGATATAGATTTTATGCTTCAATTATTACTTTCGGAATTATTGATTATGAGTTATTGTAATATTAGTTATAATTTGATTATAACCTATTGAGATGATCGTTATTGTTTGTATTTTTTTTATAATAATACATGAAAAATATATAAAATAAATTAAATAGAAATGAAATGCAAAATCACTCAGACCTACCTCAATCGGCAGTTGGATCCCACTTTAATTTTGAATTAAAGTTGTTAAAAAATCATTATTTTCCAACAATTATGACAATATTTTTGTTATAATTTAAAAAAGTCGTTTGCCATACTTTATATGTGATTTGGTTATAACTTTTTTTTAATTTTTTTTTTATAAATTATAACTTAAAAAGATCTACTTATGACATTAATTTGTGATAATCAACACCACAAATGTCATAACTTATCACCATAACATGATGCTCAGCTCCTTTCATTTTCTCCAAATTTACCAAACCCACTTTTCTCTTTGTTTAAGTTTGTTTTTTAATTGATTTTTGACTTTTTTTTAAAATTAAAAGCCCTAAAATGTGTTTGGGAAATTACTAAAAACCTACTTTTGATTAATGAAAAAAAAAAATTTGATGTCATATTTGATTTTTTAGCTGATGACAAATAGTTTGGTGGCTTTTTTTATTTTTTATTTTTTATTGCAAAAAGATTTTTTTTTTTTTTTTTCGCAAAGTCTAATTTTAAAATTTTTGGGACCATAGCCCCAGGGTCTAGTATTTTTGTAAGTTCAAAAGTATACAATAATTTGAAAAGGCCATATTATCCCTATCTATTTGTCTATCTATCCACATTACCTATCGGTCCAAGTGTCATTTATTTGTCCACCTATCTATCTATGTGTTATTGCCCATATTTGTAACACTTCAGTCTTTATCTGACCTAATTACTCATATTTGTTTGATGTTAGGCACAACCCTTTTTAATCTTGTACGTACATTTGCTTATATGTATCATTATCACACGTGCATGATGTTTCTAAAACAATAAATCATGTCTGGGAGTTGAGAAGTTGATATTGGTGTTAGTGGCATTGTATAGGAGAGTTGAAACCAAACTTTCAAGGCAGAACGATTGATCGTAAAGTTGGGGCGATCGATCGCCCATACCTAATTTGTTTCAATTGAATACCTTTAAATTGTCAAATTCTAGCATATTGTAAATATTTATTATTAGCCATTGGTGGAAAAATGACACCATTGTAGAAATCATCAGTATATGATGAATTGAAACTCATGTGATGTATATTGAATTGTTGAATTCATGAGATGCAAATCCGTTAAAATTGCATGTGTTGTTGCATTGAGTAATCATTATTTTAAATTGAATGGTCATGGTGAATCCATAAAATATATAAAGGAATGAGATTAAGTTGGTGAGAGAGTCTACAATGAAAGACCGAAAATTTGCACAGAATATGTAACACCTCGACTTTTAGTACCCGAATCCATTACCAAATCCTTTATATTTTTATCATTTTAAACCTTTCATTCCATTCAAGAATATGAATCAAGAATAAATAATAACATTCTCTTACGACAATAATGATGATATATAAATAAAACATGGTTTAATGTCCTTAGGCTTACATTGAATATTTACATGGCACTCGGCCAACAAATAGAAAGGCCTTGTGGCCAAACATAACACAAGACTTCAAGTCCTGAAAAATCTTCTAGCCATGTACCTGAAAAATTTGTCAATATGTGGGATGAGCACTAAGCCCAGTAGAGATTCCAAAGATCTTAACCAATCACAACATATAGCTAGAAATGATCATGTATGCACCATAATCGACCATATATGTAATGTGATAGTTAATATCCAAAAGTATACTTGTATAAATATGTTTTTCCCAAAAAGTTCCACTTAACACAACACAATATAAAAATTATTTTTTCTCTCTTAAATTCTCATTTTGCTTCTAAAAACATTTCGAAACCCCATTCTTCTAATAAAACCTTCCAAATTAACATAAAAGAATCTCACTTAAACATCTGTTTTGAAAACACAAGCCCACATGCAACTCATAGCTGAACCCCATATCTCAATACACTATATGCATCTATGCACCAATATATCTATTATCTTCCCTGGCTATAGGCCCAAGAGAAAAAAATACAACCACGATGCGAAACCGATGACACATATATTAAAAAATAAATAATGATTCCATCTCCACTGCATATAGCACAAATGGTCGATTTCACAATACAAATAACACATAATACTTTTTCAACCTCACTCGGAAGGAGGCGCCCCTCAGGTCATACTTTACTGGGCACAAACCGGAAGGGAGAAGAGCCTATCACAAGGTGTCACCCTTGCCCGGCTCAAATACGGATGGAAACTGACCCCCTTTCACACTTTACCAGGTGCAAACCGAAAGGGACGAGGAAATCTCTGTCAAGGCGCCACGCTTTGCCGGCTTAATACGGCGGGAAACGGACCCCCAAACAACATCACAATAAAAGCATAACATGCTAACCAACATAAATAATACACGGGGGTAATACATACACTTAGTCCAATTATCACAAGCACGACTATTAACAGTTAAATACATTAACACACTTCTTTAAAAATGTGCTCGATGCACCACCATTCAACAACGGGTTTTTCTACATTTCCAAAACATAATACAAATTACTAAACATCAAAACCATAACTATCCAATGATAGTCTCATAACATAAACATATCCATAAGCATTCCAGTTCCTTCTCTAACAACGTAATCCATAACTCAACAATGCAATTGTCTATTCACAATGTCCATTTACAATCAACAACATATCATCTTACATTATATAGCCCATCCTATAATAGTACTCATAACATATGTCTAGCAACAATCAATACCATCCTCCACCGATGGCCAAGGAAAAAACTCTAGATGCCAATTACATAATCAAAACAATAAATACACCCATAGGTATTTCCATAGTCCTATTCGTTCCAAACTCTCATGTTTTATAAAAAGGGTAATTAATCACTCTTTGTTTTGAAAACATATCCTCACTACTCCAAATCCCAACATACACAACATTTGCCAACATCCAATAACATTAATCCAAGACCACAAATTCGTAAACAACCACAACATAATCCAATTT